TACTCTTAAATTTGAATCTAAACTATGAATGTTTGAGAACCCCTGATTTAAATTATTATTAGATGGGGAATTGTGATGTATCCTTGGGGGTGGGAATGGGGAGGAGATCAAAGTCAAATGATTCTCCTTCCCTCCCCTACACATATGATTTTTTTTTTTTTTAATTCAATGTGGTCAAGTGCAAATCTTTCTGTTTATGGCCCCAAAGAAGTCAGGAGTCACACAAGGTTGCAATGTAAACAATGGTAGTGTGAAAACCCTCTTAGAGCAACAATAAAGTAGTCTAACAAGATTGTGTTAATTTGACTCATTTTATCAGACAACCAACAGCCATTTATGGCTTATATTGTCAAGGTTTCTGGATAAAGCCATGGTTATGAAACAGTAACAATAAAGATGTTTGGGTGACCCTAAATATCTCCATATTTTCAAGTGTTTTTGGTTGAAATGTTTTTTTAAAATGAATTAACTTTGAATTTCCAGACTTTCCAACTTTTGGTTATTGGGGGTGAGGAGAGAGAGGAATTATGTGGAAATTTCAAGTCTCAGTGGGTTTTTTTTTTAAATCAATGTGAGTGATAGTCTTTAAACCTCAACTCCAGGTTTTACCCAAGAATTTGCTTTGTTTTTTTCTGAATATTTAAAAAATGATAGGTGATGGAACCTGTCATGCATGAAAACCATGTGCCTCCCTCTTTCTCCTGCTTACCACGGCCCAGGCTGCCATATATTTCATTGCATTTTCTGCTTTCATCACCACCTGGAGAAGGGACAACACAGACTCTCTAAAAGACTTCACGGAAACCTGTGACTTTCTGTGTGATATAGTCCCTGCCCCACAGGGACAGGGGAAGGATGTGACAATAAAAGTGAGGGTCAAACAGATAACAGGAGGACAAAAATGACAGTTGTGATGAGTCCACGCCTCATCTAAGCACACCAGGCTACAAACTTGCACACCTGACTCCAGACAAGAGGCACATATTAGTGTTTGTCTTTACTGCATTGTTAGATTGAACTGTAAACACTAGTTTTGCCCCTACACAGTCTTCTGTCCACACTAGTCTCTAGCGTAGCTAACGTGGTGCTTTAAGCTGTCAGAGTGGGCTGGATTGAAGCTCGAGCACTCACCAGTTGCTAATCGAATCACTCTGCTAATCCAGTTACTCTGTCTAGTTTGAGTGGTGTTTGGCAGTGTAGTCACACTCTCACTTGAGCTAGGATTGTTAGAGTGGAGTAACAGGAGCTAACTGAAGTGAAACAAACACTTCAAGCCCTTCTTAGGCTTTCCTTAGGCAAACTGGGGGGGCGGGGGGGGAGTAATTTGTTTTTATAAGATACCCTAAACAAAACAAAATTTAGGGGATTATAGGGGTCTGCTAAGCAGACCCTGTACAGCAAGGTTCATAATTCACCTCGGTTCTTTCTCCATAGTACAGAGGTTAGGGAGTGCAGTCCCTTATTTAGGGCTGCGCTATACTAGAAAATTAGATTGACCCAGCCAAGTATCAGGGATGTGAAAAATCCACAACCCTGAGCAACACAGTTAAGAAGACCCAAGTCCCCATGTAGACAGCACTATGTCAACAGAAAAAATTCTTCTATGGACCTGGCTCCTGCCTCTCGGGGAGGATTACCTATGCAGACAGGAGAACCCCTCCCATCAGTGTAGGTAGCGTCTACACTGAAGCGCTGCTGTAGCATTTCAAGTGTAGACAAGCCCACAGACGCAGACATCAAGCACCTCATGAACGTTTAATTAGATCTCAACACCTGCTGCATTTTCCCCATTCCAGAGATAGGGATACCTTTGGCAGGTAATACCTCAGTAACATTCAGTAGCAGATACATCAATAAAACCCAAAACTCCTGCAGTGAAACTATTATACCCTGCTCCCCTCCCTACCACATTAAGCATTTAGCTAACTGAAGCGCACACAAGAAATACTCTCGTTGCTGTGGCCTTTGTACACCCTGCTAATGCTAGAATGTATTGTGGGCAAAATAAAAGTGCTCCTGAACTTGTAACAAAAATGATTTCAGGGAACAACAGAAAAAAGACATTTTTCAACTACTTAGATTAAAATAAATTTTAGCAGACAAAGGAATTAAAGTATTACCACTCCACCAGCATTAAGACATAAGTGTTTCAATGCTTGTCCTACACTCCAATGTCCTGCAGCACTTCTATTTTCTACTAATATTCCACAGAAATCAAAAGTCACATCAGGCTATATCCTGGTGCATTTGGCCAGACATACATAGGTTTAACATCTTGACTTCAGAACAAGGTACTATAAATATCAAAGCTTGCCATTTCTTTCAAGTTTTTAATAGCTTAAATATACAGACCAAAGCATCAGAAGAGGCCTCCTCTATTACGAATACAGGCCTGCAAACCCTTACTTGTCTGAATTGGCACTACTACTGTAAGCGGTCTCATTGCTTCCCACAAACCAACATGTCAAGGACCGGGACCGTTAGCTGTATGGAAGGGGTTGCATGCACTTTGAAGGACTGGATTAGAATTCAAAATTATCTTGATAAATTGTAGAATTGGTCTGAAAGCAATAAGATGAAATCCAAAAAGCCCAAATACAGAGTTGTCACCAATCCCTCAGTGTCGAGGGTGATCTCTTCCACAGGTTTTTATTTTCTTTAATGGGTCCTTTGGTGACTGAGGACTCCAATCCTTGAGCCGCAAACTCATTGCGGGTGATGTTGTAAGGCAGGTTTGGGCCACGACAGTCATCTGTCCTTTCTCTTCTGGCATTTTTCTGTGACCAGGGCAATGCAATTTTCCTCAAAAGTGATCATCCCTTCTCTGACAAGTCTTCACCAGTTAGCCCTGACCTGGGCTACTGTCTCCCAGTGCATGGCCTCGACGTCACATTTCTTGATGTTTGTATTAAGGGTGTCTTTAAAGCGTTTCTTTTGGCCTCACTGTTTCCTTTCTCCTTTGGTAAGTTGGGTGTATAACAATTATTTTGGTAGGCATGCATCAGGCATGAGCTCACAGTGCCCATTCCACCTCAGCTGGTGCTAGATAATCAGGGCCTCAATACTGAAGGCACTGGCCTCCATGAGGACACTGATGTTAGTGCAGCGATCCTCCCAGTTTATGTTGAGGATCTTCCTGAGAAAGTGCTGGTGCTGGCGTTCCAGGTTTTTCAGGTGTTTACTATAGGTCACCCAAGTCACGCAGCTGTAAAGGACAGTGGGGATTACCACCACTTTGTGAACTAAAAATCTAGTGTGTGTTCTCATGTCATGGTTATTGAACACCTGTCCAAACAGTCTGCCAAAGGCAGGGCTGGCACAGCAGATTCTGTGTTGAATCTCAACATCTGTGTCTGACTCTGCAAATACAGAGTATTGCACTTACAAAAGAAAAATCAAATGCATAAATAAAAAATGGAGAATAATTGGCTACGAAGCAATACTGCAGAAAAGGATTTGTGGGTGACAGTGGATCACAAACTGAATGAGTCAAAGTGATGTTGTTGCAAAAGGCAAATATCTTTCTGGGATGTAATAACAGTAGTGCTGTAGCTAAGACATGGGAGGTAACTGTTCCATTCTGCTTGGCACTGGTGAGGCCTCAGCTGGAGTACTGTGTCCAGTTTTGTTCACTGCACCTTAAGGGAGAGGTGGACAAACTGGAGGAAGTCCAGATAAGAGCAAGAAAAATAAGTTTATTAAAAAAAAAATGACCTATGGAAAAAGGCTGAAAGAATTGGGCATATTTAGAAAAACAAAAGAAAGCCTTTTGGGCAGATTGCTACAGATTCCCAGTAAGTCATTACTTCATTTAGCTTTCTTCTTGGCTTACACCTTCAGTTTATGCTACCCAACACTGACTTTTTGAATGAGTTATGTTTGTTTTTCATGATTTGTTTGCTAATATTGTTCAAGGTGACAAGTGAAAACAAAAACACTAGTCAGTTTCACTGTCTAGTTCACCTACATTAGAAAAATGCTGGGATGTTTGGGTTGCAAACACTGAATGTTTAAATCCAAAGCGGTTTTAAATTACAAAAAAACATTTACACAACTACTGTATTTTTCAAAATTAGAGTGTCCTTTTAATTTTAGTCATAATGATAATCATTCTGTTTTAGAGTGGTGAACAAAAGTGCATCATTTGGGGGAAGGGGTAAGAGTTGCCAATATAATGAACACTGCTACACAGAGACTTAATATTTTGAAAACTTTTTTCCTCAACAGAAATGTTATACTGTAAGTCACATTAGAGTCCAGAAGTAAATGTTTATCAGAGTTATAAAACCATAAAATATAGAGAGTTGCCATGGCAGGGCTGACAACCTTTAGCTAGGGCAGGTTCAGCAGTAAATGTTTTTCTTCCTTCCCAACATACCAGGTCAATAGATCCCTGAATTTGCAGTTTATGTCTCCCAAACTACTTTATGCACGGAAGCGGGAGGAGTGATTAACTGCAGGAAACAATCCGCCAGGATGAAGGAAGACTGCAGGTAGAAAGGGAACCACCGACCGGCCTCTTGCTGTAGAGCCAGAAAGGAGCTGAATACTCTCCTAAATCTACTCTCAACCTCTCAGGCCTGCGTGGAAAGAGGCAGGGAGAGGGACCGTGGAAGAGCAGGGAACCCTTGCCCGCCCCCCCAGCAGTGCACAGACTTTAAGGAAAGGTGACAGCTGGTGCAAATTAGAGTGTGACCCTGTCATGACTGAACAGCAATTTCATAATGGGGGGGAGGGGTAGGGGGGAGATAAATCTCCTCCTCCTCCCCCCATCCCAGGAGAAGGTGATGTGTGGGGGAGCAGGGAGAGCGGGTGTAGGAACCACCCTTCCCTTTCACCACCCCCGCCCCCGGTACAGCCATCAGGGCCGGCGGGGAAAGGGGCGCGGTGGCTGCCAGGCGGGGGGGAGCGAGCCGGCCGGCCAGAGGCCACGCAGAGAGTCACCTCGCCCCTCTTCCTTCCCCCCCGCCCCCGCCGGGCCGCGCCCCCCCCACGCTCACCTTGTCGCCGGCACTCCCGCTGCTCCGCCCGGCCCCTCGGCTCCTCAGCCCCGCCATGCCGCCGGAGGGTCCAGCGGCCGGGGACCCGCGCACGCCCGCCAGCCCCGCACCCCCAGACCAGAGCACCAGGGGGTGCCTCGGCCGCTCGCCCCCCGCCTCGGGTCCCGGGGGGAGGGGGCGCTGGAGGGGAGCGGCCACGCAGGTGCGCAAGGAGCTGCACGAGCCACCGCGGGCGAGGGGCGCGGCTGTGTGCACGAGCGGCTGCAGCCTGCTTCCAGCGCGACGCGACCCGCCCCGCCCCACCCCTTGTGTGAGGTCACAGGCCACGCCCAGGCCCTAGCTCCGCCCCGGCGCAGCCAGGAAGGCTTTGGGGTGGGTAGCTGGGGCTGGATCGGGCAGCGAGCGCGGGATGCTCCCTAGGCCCAGACTGCAGCCAGAGGGGAGGGGACCATCCTCCTCCTGATAGACTCCTGGGCTGTACCCCCCCCCAGCTGGGGCAAGAGAGGGGCACATTCCCATCCTGCCACCCAGCACAGGGTGGCAGGGACAATGCTGCAGCACAGATGGCTCACCGGGGAAGAGGTTTGCCTCTTTTAGCGGTCATGCCAACAGGGCCCAATGTCACACTGCAACAAGATAGTGAGCACACAGCTGAAGTTGCCTCCCGAAAGTGCGGTCTTGCTACTGTACAGCCCCAAATAAGTTTCCTGTGTCCACCCCCTGCAATATGTCCAAAACATCCCAGCAACGCTAGAAGAGATAGCACCTCTGCAATGCGTTTTCACTATGCAAGAAAGTAGGCTCTTACCTCCCTGGACCTAGGCCGTAGTCATCACATGAATCAGCAGGGTGAAATAGGTTGAAACAATAAATAATCTTTAATTTACCCTGACATGTCATATAAAAACCTATGAGCTACCCTATCTTCACTAGGATTTTAACTCACAGTAGTTAACTATACTTAACTTTTTCATAGTGAAAATGATGCCTAAAATATGAGGACATTACATTAGTGCTTATAGTAGTTGAGGACACTTCACATCCTACTTGTCCAGTTTGTATAACAGTCCTACTGAGTCCTGAAAAATATCAGAACAGCTAACACTTCTAATGCAGAAGAATAAATAATGCTATGTACACAACTCATTAGCATTGTTAATCAAATTGGTACAAGGGTGGCCAATTTTTTTAAACATTCTTTTGTACAGTAGCTAGGAGATCTTTGGATGGAAAGTGTATAGAAGTGCTGAGTATTCTTATATAAGCAGCACAGTCATTACAGATTAGTATACTTTATAGATTCACTCATCCCTCAAAAACTATTGCACAGCTCTAGGCCACTCATCTTTCAGTTGCCTGATCAATAAAGCTTTCTAACTATTCCCTAAAGACATATTTGAACTGAAACACACTCTGCTTTGTACTGGGCTGCCTCCAGTTCCTGTCTACCTTAGCTCTAGTAACTTTGGAATAGGATGCTTACCTGCAACTGGGTGTTCTAACTCTAGTGGTGGAGTGGGGATTCACATATGGAAGTTTTTACTGCAGTGCTGAATTCTGTTCTAGCTGCTAGGGTAGGTACTGAAATTCTGCATGTGGTCCCTATGAGAGGCTAGATTAACCACTGTTATTTAAATATTTATTAAATGCACTTGTGTCCCATTGTGCTAGGTGCTATCCAAACCCAAAACAAAGACTTGTTTATACCGCAATGGGCTCACAGTTGCCCTTAGAAACAGACAGATGATGGGAAAACAATCTTTTTCTTATTCTACTTATTGGCCAAATATAATATTGGAGCCCTTTGCTCCTGCCTTCCTTCTGTGAAGACAGATCTGAGAAGCACTAAGGAGATGACCTGAGAATTATGGACTAAAACCCAAAGACAGTGTCCAAGCAGAATGAAAGCAAACTTCCATGAATCAAGTATGCGCTCAAGCATGTTACACAAATTTGTTCTTTCACCATACAATGACAAGGAAAGACACTTAGGTAACACTAGAAAAAAAAATAGATCTTAGTTATACGTAAAGCATAGCCAAAAAAAAAAAAAGGGGGAGGAGGGCCTCAATAGCTAGGGATCCATCTCTCCAGTTCTCTTGTACATAAGAGGAAATACTTCCACTCAATTATAATACTGTAATTGAGTATGTGCCAAGAGGAAATGTTTGAAGCAAAGTTTTTGTAATCCTTATATAGTGCAAACTAATGATCTGAATGTTTGAGTTGTGTAATCATCCCTTGCATTCAGTGCATTTACAGTATGTTCCCAGATAGAGTGTTAAAGCTGGAAGTATACATATGCTTAAAAACAGGGAGACTCATTAGAACATGATAATTAAAACTACTTGGAAGTCAGGAAGCATGGCCCTAAGTTCCCATACACAGCCTTTCCTCTCACCACTCTGCCTACATCTACAATGCAAAAAATCTTTATTTTACGTTATACAATTAAAAAACCCAAACATCACAGTAGAAGTTTGATACAGAGAATAAAATTAATTTTTATACACAAAATAAAATATGAGTGACAAAAGGCAATAAAAAGACAGGAGCCAGAAGGAAAGAAAGAATCTTATCTCAACTCACCAATTTATTCCACTATTTCTATAAAGTCTGCCCATATGTCAGTGCATTTATATAGATTTTTTAAACCAGATCCTTTCCCATCTAATTCTTGGTTGGCTGGAAGAGTAAGGGGAATACCATTTACTCTGGGGGGGGGGGGGCGGAAATCACTAAACTATGTGATGGCCATTAAAAAAGGCAGAATGACACAGAATGACAATGGACTATGCCCTCAGTGAGGGTTATCATTTATACTGTAAAGGAGTAACATTATTACAGGTGTCAACTTAAATGTCAGAAGTACCAAAACAAAAACAGGCAAAAGGACTAGCGTTAAACTCTAAGCAGTGCAAAACAGCAGGGTAGTCAGCTGTCCTGGAAAACTGGAAATAACTTGGGTTTTGAGGGTCAAGTAAAGCAGATGAAGTCAGACTAGCTGGGTCAGCTGTTTAACTACATGGGGAAAACCAGTGATGAATGGTTGCTGTGACCAGAGCTGTCCCAAAGGAAAGTAGTCCAAGGGACAGAGGTGACAGCTTTCTTAGAAGCTGTTGGGGAGCTAAACATCAGCAGCTGAAGCAAAATGCCCAAACACACATTCAAGCTGCATCTGTTAAGAGATACTAGCAGGGGATGCAATAGCCTCTACAGATAAACGCAGTCCTAGTCGCTTCTCTTAAGAGAGCCCTGAGGCACAAAGCCATCCCCAAGCGGTTGTAGCTAGAAGTTCCTTAAAAATGCAGCTGCACACACAAACTACAGTAGACACTGAAATTAAGTGGAGAAATCACTGGGCAAAGGACCTGTCCTTGCTCTCACTGCCATCAGTGGTAGTACTTCCATTGACAGTGGGAACAAGATCAAGTCATTTAAAAAAAAAGTTAGATATTTTCTCCAATTACTTTCACAGGGCTCTTGCAAATGGAAATAAGTGCTCATGTCAGCAGCAACATAGAACTCAAATGGCTCTTAGATTTTGTTGAGAGAGGAAACGAGAGCTTGTCCAAACATCCAAAGTACTGAAAACATTTTCATAAATGAAATTACATTTCACACTTTAGATTCAGGGCTTCCTGTCCTCTTTTATTGCAGGCGTTTAATGATTGATTCTAGAACTCAGAGGCAGTTTTGCTAGTGAACTGCTGGGAAGCGTACTAAGAATATCTTGCTGCTAAACTGTACTGTGTGCAAAGATGAACTAAGCTCTTCCTTGCTGTGTGGTAAGGTAAACTGAACCCTACTTTGCTGCATAGAAATCATGTTCTCTTGTATGTAAACTTTATTATTGCTGGTCTTTGTCATATTGGACTTTTGTATTAAGACCGACCTCTGTTCCCCAAAGAGGTTCTCTGGTGTACAGCAGCTCACTGAGCTCTTTCTGAGCCTCCCAGTGGAATCCAAAGGCCTGCTGCCAAGTGGATCTGCGGGCAACGAGCCCTGAACCAGTGGTTTCACACTATCATCTATCACCTGATGCCAACTCAAACACATGAGAGTATGCACTATCTACTCAAGTGCTTGGTTTTTGTCCTAGGAAAGAGAGTCTCTGCCAGGGTGGAAGCGATTTTCCATAGCACAACTTTCTTCACAGGAATCTCTTCGTAATTGCCTTATGGAGGAATGTGGGACATTCCCCACGACACTTGATGACACATGGTGCTATTTTGAGACATCTGGTATCCCTGCATATCCAGGCAGAAGGTGGGAAATGTGCTCTTCTATGATGAATGTCTGCTTGCAACATGGGCACTATACAAGGTGGATGACATCCTGAAAAAGAGGTATGTTGTTTCAAGAATGGAAAAGAATCTGCACTTCATTGATTACAAGGAAAGGATTTCAGAGCACAGAGACTGAAGTGTTGAGGCAAAAATGCACTGAAGACTGAGGGACAGCATTTCAAAGCACTGAGGCACATGTGTCACAGTGCTGAGACAAAGCTCTAGAGTACTAAGATGAAGTTCTGAAGAAAGACCTGAGTCCAGGGACCAAAGTTTCTATGCTGAACAGACCTAGAGAAGCAAACCAAAGAAATTTATTTATTTTTATATTAAAAATTATCAACCAAACCCAAAACAGAAAGCAGAAAACAGAAGATACAAAAAGCAGGTCAGAGCTGGATAGATCAAAGAGCTAAAACAGTGATCGAAGAGGCACAGCGCCTATGGGAAACTCCTTCGCTAGCCGTAGTCAATGAGGAACTGGTTGGAAGGTTCTAATAGCAACAGTACCCTTTGCCTTAGGGAACAAACCTCTTTTAGCACTTGGAGTTCTGCCCATCTCGTGTTAGGAAGTTAACTGGAAAAAAATATATATCAGGATAGAGAATCTTGCCTAGATTTAGAAAGTATAAGAAGCTAAAAGTCCAAAACAAATCTCTGCTCTGCATCAGTAACTTACACAAAGCAACAAGAGGTTTCTTTGACACTAAACAGAATGTACTTTGAGCCTTAATTTTTCCATGAAGAAACTGGAAAAAGCCAAGTCCAGACAACATGGACACCT